ATCTGAAGGACATGGCAGCACTCTAATAAAAAATACCAGAGCTCATCCACAAGACGTAATTGGATAAAGTCATTATCACTCCGATTACAGCAGTTATGTGGGCAAGGCCAGGGACAACATACAAAAATATCCACAGTTTCCATGTTCAGATTACTCTGGTAAAGACAGCTTTTCGGTGCAAAATCAAAACAAGGTGTCGAAAAGCACATTGCCATGGTGACAATTACACAAGACTGGTCCACCTCCAAAAAATTAAGTTATTATATAAGCCTCCACCAGCCTCCTGTACTGGTCACCAACAGTCTTGAGAACATGAGAATGCTGGGATATATAAAACAAGACCGACAGGGAGGCTCAAGTTTCGATGAGGAGCTGCAAGTTTTGGATTAGAGCCCAGAGGTTGTTCTGAGTTCTTCCACACTCCAAGAACAAGGAGGCACAAAATGAACACATGCAGGACCCTCATAACCAGATACTAACCATGTAACAGGTGTGTATATATAAAGTCATCGACAGCCTTTCAATTTTTGAGCCTCACTGCTTTGGTGCAAGTAAATTCTGACAAATCATCCAAAGACACTGCATGCAAACATCTTCTCAAATCCTTCTTCCGGATTTAGCTGTAAACATGCATTAGCAACTTTGTATTATTTGTAATATAATTCTGTCAGCCTGCAGTCTTGCTCACTCTGGGACAGACAGCAGGGCTATTTTTATAAACTGTGAGCCCATGTAGATTCAGTGAAAGAGTTGACAAAGTGTTGTTGACGGCTTGTCATGCTCTAAACAGGTGCAGCGGCATATGATCGATAGTGAGCGGAGCATAAAGCGGAGGGAACATTTACTGTACACACTGAACTCATGACTCAATCCGAACATGCTAAACCAATCCAGATTGGGCATCATGTGGTCTATCATGCAGTGTGAAAATGTGTCATGTTTCATCTATGATAATATGGCCTTAGTTGTAAATTAGGGGTGTTGAGGGACAGGTTGAGGGCGAGGGACAGAGACTGAATGCTAATACTGGAGGAAGATAGGAGAGATAGATAATAGATAAAGATAGATGGATGTTGTATGACTGAAGAATCTTTAGTTATTTCCATCCAGCACTTGTTTCAATTCAACACTCAATCGTTCCATTTGAATGAATGCTTGGACGGATAATAAAAGAAATCACAGAACAGCTCCCGGACATGAGCCTTCCCACTCAACAGAGAAAGCCTTATCCCCGGGAATAATCACACAGATTCTTGATTCCTAACACCACATTTTAGCTCTGTTACAAGTCTACACTCTGTTAATTCTTCTGCCTGAAATTTGAGAAAATTCTAAGGAAAAGCATCAAATGGTTCTGCAAAATGTTGTAATGTGATCTCAATTTGGAGATGGAGCATGTCAAATCTGCCAAAAAATAAATAATTTGTTTTAATCAAATAAATTTGAAAAAAAAAAAAAAAATGCCATAAGTGTGACAAAAAAATCCCCCTACGTGACATTAAATAATAATAATAATTATAAAATGTTTTAATTTGTACTGTTTATTTTTATTTCCTGATTTTTCATAATAATAATAATAATAAATATTATTATTATTATTGTTATTACAATAACAAAGAGTAACAAGTAATGAGAAATAATTACACAGCACAAATGTAATGAAAGTAAAAACTAGTTAAAAAATAAACATTAATAAATAATCATCTAAAATAATAAGAATGATAAACTGAACTTGGACAATTGTGTCAATGTAATCTGACATTAAAAACATTATGGAAATTGAGAATGAATTATTTTTAGTGTACATCTTAAAGAAAATGTAATTCCTAGTATTGGTAATGGCAAAAGTAAATGGATACAATAAGAAAATAAAAAATAAATAATCATCTGCATTATTAAGAAAAATAAGTATATTAAACCGAGCTTGGACAAGCATGTGTTGATGTATTCTGATATCAAGAAATTCACAAAAGTTATTTTTAACTATATTGAGCTCCTGTATCTTATTAAAGAATATTGCATTCCTTAGGATATGACACCTTAAATGCAAAACAAAAATAAATGGAAATATTAACGCTCAGCTTGTCACGTAGGGACCCCCTCCTAGAACGGCATGGCCCACGGGGAATGCTTCAATATGTGCAGTGAGGCCTGTTCACCCAGCAACTGCACTGCATTACAACACAGCGGTTAGAAAACCAGCTTTACCACGAGACACAGTGAGTACAGATAGGAATGTCGCACATTTCAACTGATATATAGTAAAATGTCTGTTTGTATTAACATGCGGCATTTCACAGAATTCACATGTTTTGTCAACTACAATAGGCAGGATCCTACTATGAAACTGGCTGAGCAGGTTTATTCTTTTACAGAATGAATGCAAATGAATGAGTAAAACAACTATGCCAACCGTTCTGCTGTAAATAAAGTAGAATCTGACATTAACTGCAGTGTTTCCACTTTTTTTAAATTAGAAATAAATAATTTGCTTTCTCCTTTCAACTTTTTCCGTTTATGCATGCTATTTTAGATTTGATATGTTACACAAACATGAAAGCACATTCTAACCTGCTAATACACACACTCTCTCTCTATTTCTCCCACACACTACAGGCGTAGATTCCTCTCAGTGTACACGTTGCTCCCCAGAGGAATTATATTTTGGGCTTTCAGAAGGGTGTCGTGGGTGGGGATTGCCAGTCCCTAACATTAGCCTTGAGTATAAAAATAACCTCTCATCACATGAAATCAATAACAGCACTTAGATGTGACGCAGTGCGTGTTCGCGAAGTCAGGCCCCTCTGGGATTATCACACAACTTGGCAAGTGTAAGTGACACCATCACTCTCACCTGGACCTGAGGAAAATCCTGCGCCACGGTAAAACGGAAACAAGTTGCTAACAACATGGTGGTGACTAATTTACCAGCTACCAATATTCCAGTTCTCTGCTTTAAACATGCTGCAGCATATAATTTCCCCCCTTTTTCAACAGCATAAATGAACCTCATCTGGTTTATGACAATCTCAGTATAATCTGATAAAGAATATACAACCAATATGAGCTTGATTTTGTCACATTTCATAAGAATAATTTTAGACCAGATTAAATAAATTAATAATTAAATTAAAATACAAATAGTATTATTACAAATAGTATTATTTTAGTATTTGTTATAGTACGATACAAATAGTATAGTTTTATATAAATTAGAAATAATTTAAAAATTCTTATAATAAAAACTTAATTAAAAAATAATTAATTTAGGTGAAAAGCAATAAAAATTATAATAATAAAGCAGCCAAGCATGATCAATATTTGCACTGCCAGCCCATCTGTAACGCCGCTAACATGTTCAAGAGGAGTGATATTAACAGTGAAAAGTTCCAGTGCTGCTGGACTGTAATATCAGCTATCTTGGAATGGCCCTCGGCCAATCAATTTAAGGGATAGGAATTAGCTGTTGTATAATATTAATTAGATAATGTTAAAAGGTTGTCATGCATCTGCAAAGATCATCAGCCTGTCCTTAGAGAGTAATCATAAACCAGCAATTACATATGTGTTCTAAAAAGCAAAAGGTTGAAGGGGTGCATCTCTGAGCACTCTTAGCATGAGGATGTGCACCATCTACAGATGAATGGCTGATGAAAGCTATTTAGTCATTCAGAATTAAAGCATTTTAACTAATAACTTAACTCAAATAACTTAATATAACTTTCTGTAAGACTAAGAACTATACATATACACAGGCTGTGATGAACTTCAGAAGTGTGATAATGTGTTCATGTTTACAATTCTTTGTCATTTTATGTTTTTCATCAAGAATGCAGAGCAAAAAGTGTGCACTTGAAAATCACATTTGCGCATACATTTGTGTTTGGCATTAAAAAAACGTTATGCAATTGAGGATGTAAAAAAGCAATATAACATTTAAAAAACTGAATTGGGAATATGTTTTTTATGTGTAATGGTACAAAACCCCCGCCAGCTATACACTGGTAAAGCAGGGTAATACTGCCACCTAGCGTTCCGAGGTAGAGCTACACCAAGTTATTCGAATCACTACATAAATTTGCGGGGTGTTTCTTTCCACTATTGGCCATTTTGGCTATTTATAAAGATATATGTGGGGATTTATAAATTAAGCTTCCCTTAAAACTCACTTTTTACGCTCATTCGTAATTGACTTACGAAATAAGTTATAACGAAATCGTAAATAACTTAATCTGTTATTACAATTTTCGACAGCATATTTTGCAGCTTTGCAACTGAAACTCTAAACCGAATCCAGAGAAGTCATTTTTACCACATCTCAAAACACTATGATGGAAACTATGGTGGTGGAAATGATATTTTAGTCGTTTTTGGAACAAAGTGGCCGACCCACTTCCCTTGCTAAAGCAAATTTCATAGCTAGCATTTTATTATGCATCCTAAACACGCTTAAAAAACAATATTTCACACTTCTAAACTTGATTTGAAAAGAAAATATATATATATATGTTTTGTTTAAGTGACATTTACCTTGATTTATCTTGAATTTACTTCACATTTGAACTCCGGGACGCTCAACTCAGACATACACGGTTTCTCCTTGGTAACGAAGTAGCCTACTACACTAACTTTTAAAAAAGAAAAAAAGGAAGAAAGCCCTTCGTGCTTACTGAATTTAGTTTGAAAAAGCTGTCAAAACAGGTACATAGGCTACTTTTAAGACATCCCCTCCCTCAAACGCCCCTTGGTCACCGAGTTCAGAAGAAAGTGTGTGCGTCGCCTCGCAGCGCCTATTAGCGCGCGCTCCAAGCAAGGCACACTCCAATAACGGAGTGCGTTCTTCCAGACATCACTGAGACTGCTGCAGAGATGCTTGGATGATGTACTCCATCATATATAACACATAAACCAGACTATATGCTATATATATATATATATGTTTTGTTTAAGTGATATTTACCTTGATTTATCTTGAATTTACTTCACATTTGAACTCCGGGACGCTCAACTCAGACATACACGGTTTCTCCTTGGTAACGAAGTAGCCTACTACACTAACTTTTAAAAAAGAAAAAAAGGAAGAAAGCCCTTCGTGCTTACTGAATTTAGTTTGAAAAAGCTGTCAAAACAGGTACATAGGCTACTTTTAAGACATCCCCTCCCTCAAACGCCCCTTGGTCACCGAGTTCAGAAGAAAGTGTGTGCGTCGCCTCGCAGCGCCTATTAGCGCGCGCTCCAAGCAAGGCACACTCCAATAACGGAGTGCGTTCTTCCAGACATCACTGAGACTGCTGCAGAGATGCTTGGATGATGTACTCCATCATATATAACACATAAACCAGACTATATGCCACAAACCGACGCTTCGACGACTGTTTTTTGACACATAAACTATATCCATGGAAACGCACAAGTGACCTTGGCAAACCCAGGACCCTTTGGAAGTTTTAAAACATCAATACGCGTTAAACACGCCACAGAAAACTCGACATGAATGTTTCACACGGACTACTGAACCGGACGATCTCTACAGCGAAGCAGCCTTTGGAAAGCGTTCAAGGATGCTGCAGTAACTTCTCGGTGATCACGAGCGACGGGTTCGGTTCACCGGTTCAGGACGAGCGCGATCAGTTCATCATGCGTTTGGTGCAGATCGCGGTTCTCTGTGTGCTGTCACTGACGGTCATTTTCGGCATATTTTTCCTCGGGTGCAATCTACTCATCAAGTCCGAGAGTATGATAAATCTGCTGGTGGAGGACAGAAGACCTTCCAAAGATGCGGATATTATTATGATTGCGGCATGAGTGGTGCCATAAACCTGACACGAACTGGCAATCTGTCATGAACGACACCTGTTGGTATGATTCTCATGCCAGTGATGAACTAAATGTATTTATATATATTTCATCTGGGACCAGAACCTGTTAATGTCGCAATGGAGACTGAACAATGCATTCAACTTTTTTTAAAACCCAGAAATGTGTGGTGATGAGTATTTGTCTACATCTTTCAAAACACATCTTCATGAAGACACCTGAAACAACAAGAGCAGAGAAAGATAACCGGACAAATGCATTAATCCAGGACAGATCATTTGAAATTAAGAATTTGTCATTTGTTTTGTATTTATATTGGCTGAATTGATTCATGTGACTCGTTGAAATGATTCAAGAATTTCTTCATGTGTTAAAGAAAGTTTGTGTTAACTTGCATGCAAAATGGATTAAAAGGATATAGAGAACTCTAAAAACACTGTTCCATTTTAGTTCCGACCTAGACGACATTTTAGAGTTTTTCAAAGGTTCAAAACAATACAATCCAGTTAACTAACAGGCAATTATAACTGGATCTGTCCATCAGATTAGATGATTAACTAGCATCCATCACATTTCACATTCTTAATAAATACATAAATTATTGTGCTCTGATATATCAATCACAAAAATCAGATGCATGACTACTCAACCTCTGCAGGTCAGTTGCAAAGGTCCAGTGTCTTCAAGTAGAGGAAAAGTTCTACAAAAAAAATGTTATTAAAAGAAAGAAAAGGACAACAAATAAATTTAATTTCCATTTATCACATGACCTTTTTCACATGGAAGCACATTAGTTCATCTTTTCCTTCTTAGGTGTCTTAGCTGCATTACACTCGCAGTGCAGATCACTTACAGCTAAACTTTGGTGGACTATTAAATATCTCCACAAATATACAATTATTAAACTATACTTTTCATATTTGGTAGAAATTAATCAAACGTTTTAATTCTGTTAACAGCTCATGTCCTTGGAAGCTTAAGACAGATGGTTGATGTTAACATTTTAAACTGCAACAATATGTTTTTCCACCAACAAGCAGCTGAAAAGCTTAGAATGACTCAAAATATGTCCGCTTTTTAATTTGACATTCTGCTGACTCACCAGCTGCCTTTCCACATGAGCTTTAGCCTGAGGAGAATATAACAAGTGGCGCATTTTATTTTAAGACAGTATATTTGAACCACAAATATTGTGGTGAATGAACTGTATAATTATGACTAGCATGGCAAACTATAACATTATGTAACTTAACCTGCAGCCCTTAGTTTCTTAATTCCATTTTAATTCCAACAAACTATTATGCAAAAGATTGGATTTAATTTTATTTGCAACCAGCATCTCATGTCAGTGTTCATAAACCAAAACCTGAAGGTAACATTACAGAGATATTGCATAATTTTCTAAAATCAGTTGGATAATACCTTGTACATACACTGCTGTATACAAGAAAGACATCATAAGAACACGGTCAAAGCCATTCACTGTATAATACATGTGACTGCTGAAAACGTGCCAAAGACGTTACTACATTCAGTGCCTTAAAACAGATGGTGCTGAAATAAATGCAACGGAGAATAGGGAACCATAATCCAAATTAGAGATTAAGGCTGCATGCTATATCACTGACCCCAACCCTAGGACATTCAGCTCACCAGACCCCACCCACACACATTTAACCGCCCACTGCTGCTTTTTTTTTTTTAATCACAGTCCTTTTTATGATGCTTGTAATGCACTGCTTTACCATACATATGCTGGTTTCTTATACTATAAACAGCATAATTTTACATTTGTTCAGTTTTTGATTGATAAATAGGCTATGATAAGCCTCAGGTGGAATCCTTTTCTAAATAAATTCATATTTTATTCAGTAAAGATTAATCAAATGTGATTTTTTTGAACTTTCTGTCCATCAAAGAATCCTAAAATAAATAGACTCATGCACATAAAATATTAAGCAGCTCAAATGTTTTTAACATTGTAACACAATAAAAATTAAGTTTTTTGAGCACCAAATCAGTATATTAGTATGGTTTCTGAAGGATCATGTGACACTGAAGACTGGCGTAATGATGCTTTGCCATCACAGGAATAAATTACATTTTCAAATAATAAAAAAAAATTACTGCTTTTACTGTATCAGTGTTTAGTGTCATTGAGATACTAATATATATATTTTTTATATTTTCTGTTTGCATTTTAATTTGAGTCATTTTGTGTTTTATATATACAGGTGCATCTCAATAAATTAGAATGTCGTAGAAAAGTTCATTTATTTCAGTAATTCAACTCAAACGTGTGTTTATATAGTTTTTATTAATTTTTATTTCACTTTTAGTTTCTTGCAAGTTTTTTTTATGGTTTTACTTTACTATAATAGCCCTATACTGCATTTTGTTCAAATAAATGCAGTACATGTGAGTATAAAATTGCAGATTCTCTTTGGGCCGGTCTAGGATGAATATATATTATGGGTAGATATATTTAGGCATCTGTTTTTATTCATTTATTCATCTGGTGTTTAAATATTTTAAGTATTTCAGGAGATAAAAGAGATAAAAAAATTAAACTTTTTTCAGCCTGTGCAGTTAGACTCTGTCATCTATGCATATCTTATTTTCTCCCTCAGAATATCATGATGACGGAACTAAACAGAGAGAATCGTGCTATGGGTTCTCATGAATTTTCCCCAGAGAGCCACTGAATGATTGATGCCGTGATTGCTTTATATTTCTTCAGCCCTTCTTTAAAGATAGAGGGAGAGCGAGTGGTAGCATGGATGAAAGGAATGGAAGAAAAGGTCACTCCCGGTGGTAGTGGCTGTCAGACAGCGGTATGGTCCTGAGAAGTGACGTGGCATTACGAACTGACAGAGCTAGAGAAAGGCTATGGAACAGGGGAAATGTCAGAGTAAAAAGAGGGGGGGAAATGTGAAGCCTCTACAATACATGTTAGCACAAATGTGAACAGCATAAAAAAAGAGTCTAGGTGGGATGCAACCACCTTAACCTGTTATGCAACAAGCCATTGTGTAAAGGTCAAAGAGGCAGAAATAATTTCAGATTTTTATAGTGATTCTTCAGCAGGACTCTTTGCACACAGGAAGTCACTCTACAACCAGTCATTGATACTTGTACTGACAGAGAAACATAATTATAACGATGCCCTAAACTACTTTGAGGTGAATCCAAAACCATTCACCATCTATGAAATCTCTTCCTTTCAGATCATATCTGACAGCTTTAACTCCCACAAGTAATCAGTATTTTTATTCATCGTTGACAGATGTTATACAAAATCAAGGGTCTGCCGAAAAGCCACGAGGACACGGCCTAAAAAAAGATTCTCTGGAGACTAACTGCGTGATTCGCGGAGTAAAACTTGCTGCGTTTAATCACACCATCTCATAGCCTCAGTTACCCTCAACTGACACTCAAACATGCAATATACAAAAATCCTTCATTCAGTGGAAAGGTCTAGTTCTTTGGAGAGACTATGGCTTATTTAAATGTTTGCAAATGTGAAAGACTGAGTTTTGACAGTCACTCAGCTGTTAGCATTGGAAAATAACAACATATATAGGCTAAAGATCTTTAAATACACTTAAATTGAATGATGCTTAGTATGGTATTAGTCATACACCCACAGATGCTTTAATAACTGATATGAGGCACCATGATGTCCAGACTTTTCTCATCCTTTTTAAGTCCCCCTGCTAATTCAGTTGCTATTGTTCTCTATCCCTCTGAATGCCTATCTCTGTTTTGCCTGCACAAATGCAAATGCTCTAATGCACTCTCTGCCATCCCATGAGCCTCAGCCTTCAGCTCAGCGTTTGGGAGTAACAGCTGCAATACCTTTCCATCACAGTCAGGACAGAGCGACCCATCACTCCAGTGGTGTGTGAGGAACAGGAAGTGACAGACTGTTTTTTACCCCTTCCCTTCCTTTTTGTTCAGTCCAATGAGTCTAAATGTGATTGACAGCAAAAGGCATTTTAAGCCCTGCCACAGTACTGCAAAGCGAAAATGTTTGTACAGCGCACCAAATATTGCATAACTAGATTTCAATGAGAATTGACAGCTTGAGTCGCTGGCAGCATATTATTACACATTTTATTTTCTGATGAAAGGCTTGCTTTTGCATTGTAAATTATAAGATGACTTGTTCGTTTTCACTTCCAAAAACTACTACATTTAATTTCTTATAGTTTTTACCATATACGTATATAAGAGAAGTAGCAGATTTTTTAATCATAGCATTTTTTATAGTGTTTTGGAGTTAAAATCAATCACTATGTGTGTGTGTGGGGGAGGGGGTGCATTTGTTACTTTTTTGTAATTAAAACCTTTTTATCATCACATTAAAAATGAAAGTTATTTAAAAAAATGCATTTTTAATTTAGATAAAGTGCATTTACCTCTATATTTGGTGGAGGCCTAGGCTTTCTAGTCTACTTGTGATGGTGAAAATTAAGATGTTTTCAAAAGAAATTCTCACAAATTTACCTGTATTATCTTGTCTAGCTACAAGATGAACATTGAAACAATATTACAACTGTGAGTTTGCAGTGTGATGCAAGAGACATGCAAGTAGCCATGGTGTTAGTTACCGGGAAGGGCTAAACGTCATGATTGCCCAAATCACAATCAAGTATTTAAGAAATCTGTTATAAACGACAAGAAAAAAAGCTCAAAGTTCTCTGAGTCTTAAGGAATGGTGATGTAATCAAATTCATGCTGGTTGTCTACCCACTCACTCTGCATGACTGTGCTTCCCATGGGTTTCTGTCAGAAATGTCTTGCTGAACCTTTTCAAACATGCAGTCTCAAACTGCAGTGTGGTGAGTCCTGCTGAGCAGCTCTTTCACACAGTGCTTACGCAGATGGTGACCCAGAACCTCAACCTAAGCTCCGAGTCCTTCAATTATCGCATTGCATGCAAATAATACACCTTTATTAGGCATCCTTCTACCCATTTATTGTACCGTCTGGGCTTCAGGACCCCTCACAAACAGAGAGAGCACTATTTAAAGCAACTATTGAATGCTTTAAGTGCATGACATTGATTTAAGTGCGTCACTGCTCTGCATTAATTGAGAAAATCTTGTTAAAGTCAAGTCAAGATTTAATGCTGGCTCACCAATAAAGGAAGCAAAAAAATTATTCGAAAGAAAAGGGGAGAAATTTGATGTTGGACAAATTTACTGCAAATAGAACACTGAAGAACATAACTTTGATCTTCTTTAAAATTTTAGTCCATTTTGTCCAAAGATCTTTTTTCCCCTTTATAGTTTTGCTAGCCATACTGATAAACTTTTGACACTGAAGTATCAGCAGGAACTGAAGACAATGAAAACTTTAACCCAATATCACAAATGACTTGATTAGAACTAAAATCAGCAAAAGTGGGATGTTCATACTACCATTTTTGCAATATGTATATTGTGTACATATGTATGTACTGGTACGCATAAAATACACAACTTAAAATATGCCATACAACAGACCAC